AGCCATGCTGGGTCATCCTTGCAGCTGCATTTCCTGCTCCTGCCCTTTCCCGGTGATTCACTCGCTCCTCCTCCCTGCCAGGAGCTCTGACCTGGATGGAGAGGTGGGACAGGGACACCTGAGCTCTCCTGAACGTTCCTCTGGAGATCAGCTCCTGCTGGCAGGATGCCCTGGAGGGTTTCCTGGCTGGAATACAGTGTAGCAAGAAGGGAAAATCCTGAGTACCAAAAGATCCACCTGAGATGCAGAAAAATCCCCCACACTGTGCTCCAGGGCAGGTCCCTGCTCCTGGCAGGCAGCTGTGAGTCCATGTGAGCCTGTTGTTGTCCTGCTGTCCCCTGCATGGATTGTTTTATTTGATCACGTTCAATAAAAGGGTAAAACCTTTTCCCTGTGGCCACTTGAAGAGCGTGGCCCAGCAGCAGGGCAGGAGGCAGATGGGAAGAGCTGGTTTATTCGAAATTATAGCACAGTTTCTACACTCCAGCCCTGCCAAGGCTTTGGGTGTGGCCAGGGTCTGGCACAGGAGATGGATTGCTCAGGGCTGGCCGCCCCTGGAGCTGGGTTGGCCTGGCACGTTGGGATCAGACCCCGTGATGGCTCTGAGCTGCCCAAGGCACCTCTCCCACAGCACGACTCAGTTTTGCCTGGAAAAGCCAATCAGTTGCTTCAGCAGCGATGGAAGTTTGTGAAAATACAATGGCACAATCTCTGCTGAGTTCAGGCCCAGAAGCAGAGCCAAGAGTTTCCCTGGCTTTGGATAAAACTTTGCTGTGGTTACCACAGGATCATGTGATGGCAGCTGATCTCTCCAACCTCCAAAGTTCTCACTCCAGGCCTCTTCTACTGCACAAAAAACACCCTGAGTGTTCAAAACATCTCCCCGCTCGGGTTCATTGATAGCAGAATTATCAGCCAAGTGTTGTTGAGTAAACTGCCCCTGCTGGTGTTTCTGATCCTGCCAAGGCCTTTTCCCAGCCCTCTTCCCAGCCTGCCAGCCCAGCCACAAACCTTCAGCACCCTCAGCTGAAGGGATTTCTAAACAGACACAGTTTCTCCCTCCAGCCCAAGGACACCCTCTGGCCTGCTCAGCACAACATGTCACTTCTGTTGCCTCTTCACATTTGGGTTCTCAGCCCAGGGAATTTAGGGGCAATCAGGTCTAAGCTGGACTCTGAGCCCCTTGGAACCATGCTGATGGAGGAATGTGTGTCTAGCAATGATTTTAAAGGAACAGAAGAGCAGGAACCTGTCAGCTGGGAGCTGCTGCCCTCTCCAAGATCTCTCCCCTGTGAGGAGCACAGCCCTGAATTTTCTGGGACCTCCTTCCTGCAGGATAATGCAGGGTAAGGACAGGCAGAGTCAGCTTTGCCACAGGGTTGGTCCTCTGGAGAGATGAAAGGGACGTGGTTTGGTGGCCAAATGAAAGCTGTGGCTTTAAGGAAGAATTAAAGCCAGATGTTTCCAGCAGCTGCTGAGCCCAGCCTTTTGTGTCAGAGCCACCAAAGAGGCCCTGGCAGCATCTGCTCAGCCCCGTGGTGGGAACACCCTGTAATCCTGCAGGCTCTGCTGCCTGGGAGGAGGCAACAGGAGCTGAGGCAGAGATAGTGAGGCCAGCTCAATATTTATTTCTTGTCTGAAAATATTTATTCCTTGCTGATAGTGAGGATGGCAGCAGAGGTGTGGTAACCAAATTTAGCGCCTTTGGACAAAACACCAGGGCCAAGAGGTGGCTGAGCCACGTTGGCATCCTCTCTGCAGGCACAGAGCAAAATGTGGGGAACATGGACAGAACATCTCCCCTAAACCAGGGACTGGCCTTGGACCCCTTGGGCAGTTGATGCCCAGGTAACCAACAGATAAATCTGCTGTGCAGGGAGCTCATCAGAGTCAGGGACAATAAACAGGCCCTGCTTTTATTCGGGTGTTTGTAGTCTGCTGGGACTGAAGTGAGCACCCACTCCAGAGTGGATGTGACACAGTGAAACTCCAGGAAAAGGGAAGCTGACTCCTTGTTTCAGTTGTGGAAGGAGCAGCACTTTGCACTACGAGGGAGAGCCCAGATCTGGGAGCTGCCAGTGGGAGGTCCCAGCTCACACCCAGGAGCCATAAATCTCACCCAGCACCGCTCCTACTGCTCTGCCTCGTGGTTTTAACACTCCCTCCTGGCTTCCTAAGGACGAATTCCTGGTGCCCTCTGCTCTACCCCGAGGTGGAGTTTCCTCTTGCGAAACCAGCGGGTGTCCTGCTGGCTCTGAGAGCTGGGAAAGGCTCTGCTCCAGTTCAGGTCTCTGTGTCATGGTCCTCATCTTCCTCCTGCCCCGTCCTGAGTGTTGGGATGCTCCTGCTCTAGAGGAACAGGGGAGATGCCCTTGAATGCAGCTGTATCCCTTCTGCTGGGGAATGAGGAATAAATCCATAAGGTACGCCCGAAGCAAGGAAAAGTCAATAGAGCAGAGGGAGGTTGGTGACAGGAAATCCCAGTTTTTACTGGCATCGGCTCACATCAGATAATCTGGCTCTAACAAGAGAGAAATGGCTCCATATTCTGATTCCATGGAGCTGGGTGAGGGCTGCTGTAGGAAAGGATTTCCTTGCCTTGCCCTTTGCTTGATCTCAGGCTGGGATGTCTCATTTGTGTGTCCACTAGCTCACTCTGCTCTGGAACACCCTGGGCAGGAGGAACAATTGTTTCTGCCATGATCCCAAACCCAGCTGTTGGGGGAAGGCTTTGGGAGCTCCTGGGCTGCCTGGACGGGGCTCAAGGGGAACTGCCCGTGCCTCAGTCACAGCTGGTGACTCACAGGGAAGAACCTGCCCGGGTATAAAATACAGAACTGGGTGTTTCACCTCCCAACAGGTGACAACAGGACCTGGTCGTGTCCTGGCTCGAGCGGTGTCACTCCTGCATTTCTCTCTTGGCTGACACAGAATTGTCACCCAGCAGGAATTCCTTTCTCACTCTATGGAGCAGGGCTGGTTTTCCAACCCAGCGAGTGAGGCTGGGGCTGTTCCTGAGCTGAAGGTGTCCTGGTGACACTGAGCCTTTACCAGCCGGGTGTTTCCATGGAATGGGCAGAAACAACTGCTGGGAAATGCTCTAATCTGAGCATTAGTGGTAATTTACATCCCAGCAAAGCCTGGCTCCAGGAGTCCTCAGCTCCTGTGGGATCTCGGGTGTTTGGCAGGTCTGGAAATGGGGCTAAGAACAATTCCATGCTGTGATCCCTCTGTTGCTTTGGGAGCTCCATTTGGACACATTCAAAAATAAGGAGCAGCTTTGGAGCTCAGGAGGTTTGTGAGCCAGGGTGATGCTTACCCTTTCCAGGGGTGTGATTGAGGATTAAGGAGTTAATGGTTGCAAAGTGCTTTGGAGATGACAAGAGCAGAGAAGGGGATAAGAAGGAAGAGGTTCCCACTCCCACAATGGACCTGAGAGTGTTGTTCCAATGCTCCTGGAGCTCTGGCAGCCTTGGGGGGCTGTGACCATTCCTGGGGAGCCTTTTCAATGCCTGACACACCTCAGGGGGAAGAACCTTTCCTGATATCCAGCCTAACCCTCCCCTGGCACAGCTCCAGCTGTTCCCTTGGCTCCTGTCCCTGGTCCCAGAGAGCACAGACCAGTGCCTGATGTGACAAACTCTGATCTGACAGGGGTTTGCTCCCGTGCTGTCCCTGTGGACTGAGGTCAGGCAGCTCTTGGCAGTGAGAGGATTCAGTGTGTGAACAGTCCCCTCCCATTTATCCTGCTCCAACTTATTTATTTCTGTTTCTGTTTCTTTTTCTTTCACTCCTCCACGTCTTAGAGCTGCTACCCACGGAACAGCCAAGGGCCTGCCAGCTGGGCCGTGTTTGCTGGGCAGCTTGTGCTCTGTGTTTAATCTCCTCAATGGACCCTGATTATTCCCTGGCTCCGACTTATCCACACGGATCTGCCCAGCCCTAATTGCAGGTGATGGCGTTGGTGAGGTCCCTCACAGGGCAGGGGACCTGAGGGCTGGAATTTCCATCCTCCACCCACACCACAGTGTTTAATTCTCTCACCAAAACCAACCAGTTACCCCTCAATGCACTGTAATATATTTTGTGGGTCTTTCTCTGAAGCAAAGTGGTTTCAAGGTGTGTTTTCCTGGCAGGAATCCCCTCAGAGCATCGTTCCTGCTGCTCCCTCTGTGTGTCGGGGGGGGGGGGGACACCCAAGTCGGCCGAACCAAGGGCTGCCTTCTGCAGGAGCCTGACGTGGGTTCGTGCCCTGGCTATATCGGTGCTGTCTGCAGGAAATCCTGCTCCGGTGACATTCCCACCGGAGCCACGGCCCCTTCCCAGCGCTTCCCCACCCGTTCCTGGCCGGGCCGAGCCCTGGCAGCCGCTCCGGCCCCTTCCCCGGGGTTCCGGGGAGGGTGGACGGGGGTCTGCCGGCAGGATGGGGGACACCGGGAGGGGACACCGGGAGGGGACAGTCCCTGGGCACCCCCGGCTCGGGGGCACCGGGCACGGGCACAGGGAGGCGGGACTGCGGGATCGCTGCCCTGTTCCGCAGCGTCCCTGCGGGATCCGCGGGGCTGGCCCAAAAAAATGGGAAAATCAGGAAAAAAGGGGCCGGGGCGGCCGGTGGGATCGGAGCGGGGTCTGACCGTGCCAGTGTGTGCGGTTTGTTGGAAGCATAAAGGACTATGAGTTCTTTAATTAGAAAAAACAACCAAACAACCAAAACCACCCCCAAAACCCCAAATCCGAGAATTTTCCACAAGGCCGCTCACGGCCCTTCCACTCCCTCCGCGGGGGACGCCGCTTCCCCCGCACGGCGCTGCAGCCATCGCGCCCTCTGGCGGCGCCCGGCGGGGCAGCCGCACCGCCCCCCCCCCCCCCCCGCGCGGGAATGGTCCGTCCCGGCCGTGCCCCGGACGCGCTCGGTGCGCCCGGAAGAGGCGGCGGCGGCGGGCGGGGAGCGGGCGGGACGGGCCGGGCCGGGCGGCGCGGCCGGAGGCGGAGCCCGCGTGTCCCGATCGCCGCTCCGGGCACCGGGGAGCGCGGGCCCGCCGGCCGCGGCGGCACGATGCTGCTGTTCGTGGAGGTGAGGTGACGGCGCCGGGCCATGTGGCGGCAGGCGGCGGCGGGAGGCCGCGCACGCCGCGCCGGGGGAGGGGACGGGGCTGACACAGCAGATCCGGGGGCGGCGGCCGCGGGCCGGTGTGGGGGGGTCGGGGGGCGCTCTGGAAGGTTCCGCCGGGGCAGGGGGCGGGGGAGGCGCCGCCGTGACCTTCGGGTGCCGCCGCGGCCCGGCCGTGAAGGTGACGCGGGACACGCGGGGCCTCCCCGAGGCCTCCCAGGAGCGGGCCCGGCCCGGCTCTCGACACGCGGGGCGGCCTCGCGGGGCCTGCCCCGAGCGCGGCGCCTCGTTAATTGCGTTAATTAAACACCGGGGGTGGTTTGTGGCACGGGAGGGGGGGTTCTGCCGTTCCCCGGCGCGCCGGGTCCGGGCGGGACGAGCAGCGCGGCCCGGCCCGGCCCTGGAGGTCACCGAGGAGGGCGGGCGCCGTGTCCGCTGTGGCCCGGGATGGGGCTTCACCTGCTCACGGCCTTTCACGGGCTTGGCCAAGCGCTTTTAGCTTTTGCTGAACGAACCCAAGTGGCCGCCATAAACTTTGCACCGAGTTTTGTCCCGAAACGTGCACGGAGCAAGGAGCTGCCCGGGCTGGGGGAGTCACGGAGGGAGCCGGGCGGGCGCTGGGCTGTGTCTGCACCAGGGGTTCGGCTCGGGGCGTTCTGCCCACGGGTTTTGTTCGGGTGATGGGGCAGATGGTGCTAGTGGGCTCAACACAAACACCAACATGTGCTCCGTGCCTAGGAACCGCTCAATAAAGCAGTTTAGGAAACACGTTCTGTTTTTTAAGTGCATCACTCCGTTCCGAGCTGAATGTTCCATGGCTTCGCTGGGAGGACTAAAAGTTGTCCTGAGCACGGTGACAGGCCTGGAGAATTAGGAGTTGCAATGTTCTGCTGGAAGAGGAACTGCTGAGGCTGATGGGAGGCATGAGCAGCTGCCTCATCCCGGGCTGAGCGTGGCGAGAGGCCCCGGGTGCACGAGGCAGGTTCTGGAATGCAGGGATGGAGATGTGGACGGGAGCTGGAGCAGATCAGGGAGCACATGGCTGCTGCTGGTGCTGTGGGTGGGAGCTGGAGCTCATCAGCACTTTGAGATTTTTAGGGAGTCCTAAACCACAAACTCAACTCTGATCTTCCTCTGGTAGTGTTGGGAGTTCCTGTGATCTTCATTCTGGAAGCCTCAATAATATTTAATTTTGAGTTCCTGCGGAGCATATGGACTTTCTGAAGGTTTATTTTCACTGCCAGGACAGAGAACTGGAGCTCAGAGCTAGGTGTCCTGGAATGCTGCAGTTGGATGCTTGGGAGCAGCCAGCAGCTTTATCTGGGGGTCTTTGGGGATGCCTGGAAAATAAAGCACAGGATGGGTGGAAGTCCCGAGGTTTTCAGGGGGATTGGCTGAGTTGTTGTAGCTGTCGGTGTTTGCATGGTGATTGTGCTGAGCCCTTCACAGTGTGTGAGAGGGAATTGGGTTTCCTTCAACATCCTTTAGTTCCAAATCTCTGCAGTGATGGCTGTGTAAGGCTTGTGCTATTTCATAGGTTTATGTTTGGGGCAGGCCTTTTTTCTCCCTCTAAGCCAGGATCCATGTTAACAGCTAATAATTAGGTACATTGGAATATTAATAAATATACATCCAGAGAAATGGAATTGGTAATGGCTGCTGGGCTCCACTCAGATGGGTATGTGATCCTAATTATATATATTTATAATTTCTTGGGGAAATGGGAGTCTGTGTGTTCCAGGTGGGTGAAATGCTGCCCATGCTGTCTCCTGGTTAGAAATCCAGGACTGTGGGAAGCACTGAGTGTTGTTGGCCCTCTGGAGCAGGTGAGGCTTCCTGTGACCCCACACTGCCCCTGTTCACACCCCTGTGACCCAGGTACCACCTTCAGACAGCACAGCTGTGCCTTGGCTTTTCCAGGGGCTGGAGGAGGCTCCTCAATGGCAAACCCTGCAGCTCCTGGTGGGAGGGATGTTGCTGTGACCACTGTGAGGTTGGGAGTTACCAGAGCCCTGCACTGTTACCTGAAACCTGCCAGCAGCTCTGAAGGAGTTGTGTGTGTTGGTTTGACACCAACCTCTCCTTATCCAGCCTCTGAGTGTGCATCAGCTCCCCTCAGAGAGGGTGGGCACACGAGTCTGAGCCCCTCGGGGTCCCCACCTGCCTGTGCCCCAGCCAGCACAAGGCTTCTCTCAGCTGCCTCCCGCAGCTTTGCTGACCTTGGGCTTTTTCCATCTGCTTACGTTTCCATTTCTGGAAAAGGGTTCGTTTCTCCCCTCACAAGTTTGGTTAAATTCTCTTCTGGATTTTTTTGCTTTGTTTCTGTTTCAGAGAATTTGTCTACTCCAGGAAATCTCTCACAAGATCTGAGTTAGGATTTTGGTTGCAAAATAATTTGAGTTAATATTAAAATGGATGCTTGAAAACTCTTGAATGCCTGCAATTTTGTTAACTTCATTGAACCTGGTTAAGTGTAATTCAGATGTAATTACAATAAGAAAAATATCCTTTGCCGTGTTTCAGAATGAGAATTCTCTTTAATAGCCAATTTTAGGAGTTGCTGGAGGAATCTTTGATCCACTTTTGCTGGAAGTGGTGTGAGCAAGAGGGGAAGCTGTGCTGAGGAGGAGAGCTTTGTCAGCTCATAGATCCCAGCGAGTGTTCCCAACCTTTGTCACTCTGTAAAGCTTTAACCTCGTCATGAAAGTTCCCGATAGCAGCTGGGAGGATCATGCTGCAGCCAATCCCACGGGCTCAGTGTTTGTAGCCTCAGTTAAATAAGCAAGAATTGATATTTTGGCCTTCTCTTCTGAAGAGCCGCTGGCCAGGATGGAGCGATTTTGCTCGTGGAGCGCAGCATGAATTTCCCAAAAGCTGATGTAAATTAGGGACTTTTTATCCTCTGCAGTCTGTGGGGTTTTGCTGTTAAGATGAGTGAGAGCAGGGCTGCATCCTGCTGGGCTGTTACAGCTCAGTGTTTGTAGCACAAGGGGAAGCGGCCCACGCTCTGTTCCAGGTGTGAGTCCCAGCCATTGTGTTCATCACTTCATCTGAGTTGCTTTTAGTTCCAATCACCTCCAGAAATGCAGTAACCACAACAAAGTGTTTCAGTTTCACTTTATCACATTTATTCCTGCAAATTACTTTAGGCCTGAGCTCAGTGCTAGCCTTAGAGATGTAGGTAGTGAGGCATAGTTTATTTTTAGAAAAGAATGAATCATCTCCTGGATGTGTCTTGTTTCTTTTTGCTTTGTTGAGAAGTAAGTTCAAGGAACTGCTGGCTCTGGATCTGTGGGCAGGAGCCCATGTGAGCAGGTGATGCTGCCCAGGAGTGACCAGAACTTAGTTTGGAGCTGCTGAACTACAGTGACAGCCTGTGGTTGCAGCAGGTTGCTGGGTTTTGCTTTGCAGGTTTCAGCTACTCTGAACTCTGCAAAGGGAAATACACGTGTGTCCTTTCACCCTGAACTATTTCCAGTTTCCAGCTCTGCTCCTGGGCAAAGATTAACGGGAGGGGAAGACTCTGTTGCTATGTGGATTAAATCACTTGTGCGTGGGGGGTTTGAATCTCAGAGCTTTGCAAAAACCGTGGTCTTTGTTTTGCTTCTCACACGGTTGTCTTGAACTTCTCCAGTTTTTGGAGGCTTCTTGTTACTGAGCTGGGGCTTGTCCTTGCAGCACACAGCTCTGGCACGAGGTGTGACCTTGGCAGAGGAATTATCTCTAAAGCTATTGCAACTGCTTCCTTATCCTTGTGCTGTGTGTTTGAGGCCTGGTAGTGAGCCACTCCTTAACTTCAGGATGCAGGAGCCTGGCCTCCAACATGCCCAGCTTGCTTATCTGTGTGTTTGTGGATATGAGCTGGATTAATGACTTTCACCTTTTAAAGTCCAGCAAATTGCAGCAGTGAAGTGGAGCATCGTTCAGTGGCTGGAGGAACTGTTACAGCTGCTTGTGGGGTGTTGGGATATCCTGGGGGGAGAATTTTTGCAAAAGAGTAGTTTTATTCACTGCCCTGTAACTATAGTTATTATTTCTCTACATGAAAGTAGCAAAAGCCATGTTTTTCCTCTGTGCCACTGCTGGATTGTTGGATTCCTCACCCAAAATGCCTTTGAGCAGCTCTGGGAGAGAGACCTTGAAGAACTCTTATCTTGTGCTGTGGGAATGAGTGTTTCTCTGTGTCAGGTGCCAGGCTGGAGTCTTGCAGTTCTTCTTGCCTGTTTCATTTGTAACCCTTTGACTCTAATTATGGTCCTTGTTGCCCAGGCCCAAAGTGAGCAGATCCTGTTCTCTCCCCAGCAGGCTGGGATGGTGTGTAAGTTTGTCTTGGCAATTCAAAACCTTTAATCTCCTTGGTTACCAGTCTGAGGAAATCATTAGTGTCTGTTGATGTGTGTAAGATTCCTGGGGAGTGGGGTAGGACTGGGCTAAGTTCAGGAGGAATCCTGACACAGCACAGGTGATGCTTGGTTAGTACAGATGTCACTAATTCGGTTAAGTTATACAGTTTCTTCTCCTTGACATATGTTTTTTTACCTTCCTTTCTAGGAAGGGGTCTGGAGGAGGGAAAATTTCCCTTTCTGGTGAAAGGGGACTGGAGCATTATGACAGTCAAGTCTTTAAAAGCTTATGAGTTCCCAGAGTCCTTGCCGAGTAGCCGCTGCCTCCGCTGATGTTGTCGGATGTCAATAAAGAGAGGTTGAAGGCAACACTTCTCATGGAGGTAGAAACGAAATACTTGGAAAATACCAAGGATTTTCCTGTTTTCATTGATAAAAAAATCACATAGGTGCTTAATAGCTGGGTAGACACTTGAGATGTGGAACTCTAGAGACAATCACTAAATTTGCCTGTATTTCCTGGCTTGACTTCTGAGGCTCCTCTGGGTTGCTCTCACTCACCAAAGCGTTCTGCTCTCTTCAGCAGGTAACATCGAAAGGTGCTGGCTTGAACCCCAACGCAAAAGTGTGGCAAGAGGTGCCCCAGGGCAGTGCTGAGGCCGTGCCCCCCACCAATGGCACAGAGCACACGTGGCAGGAGACAGCAGCAGCCCAGGGGACTCCAGCTGAGGGTGAGGTGTTGGGACAGGGCTCGTGATGTGGCCCCTCCTGGGAGGCACTCGGGGAGCTCAGCTGTGAGGAGCAACCTCTGGAAGCTCTGGACAGGAGCTGCTGTCCTTGAGTGCTGATGGAGCAGTGTTGTGAAGGAAGATGGGGAAGCAGCAGGTGGTTTGTGAGGGTGCTGGGTCTTAGGAAGGTTTCAGGAAGGGCTCTGAGCTCTGCTGGAAGAGGATTCAGGGGCCCGGTGATGACCAAGTAACGCGCTAAGAGGGAGCAGGGTGCTGAATGTGTAGAAATGGATTCGTGCCATGGCTGCACTTGAGCATCCACTGGACCCTGTGAACAGGAAAATGAGATCTGAGGGCCACCTGCAATCCTGGGGAACTGAGGTGCTGCTGAGCACTGTCAGGAGCGTTTGTTCTGGAGCAGAACAAATTCGTTCTGGAGCAGAACCCTGTGCAGTACCCATGGTTAACTCCTTTCATTCAGGCTGTTCCACTGCAGTCCCATCCCATCCTTACCACACAGGCAGTGTAAACTAAAGATTCAACTGGTTTCACTTGTCTGGCTCAGACTCAATCCAGGGTGTAGCTGAGGTGACTCAAAGCGTGGCAGAGGATGCAGAAGATTCCCTGCAAAATGGTTTAGTAAAAGTTAGGGATAAAGAAGAGAACATTCAGCTGGCATGGCCTTGTCAAAGGTTTCTGGTAAGTCAGCAGAAGTGAGGAGAGAGCGCTGGGTTTGTGCTTTGCCTGACAGAAACTCATTTGTCTCTTCATAACAAAGTGAAGCAATTGAGGCAGTGTAAGCAATTTTCATCCCTTGTTTTTAGCAACCTCACTTAAATATTTTAAATTTCACATGGAAGGACTGGTTTTTAGATTCTCTGCCACTTTGGGGATCGATTTCAGGATCTTTTATTTACTTTTATTTGCTTTTCCCTGAGAGCCTGGTGCAAACCAGATCTTCCTGAAATTGGAGAGGTAAAAGTTTTATCCAACACAAAGTCTAAGAAATACAGGCTGAGGTTAGACACTCTCAGGTACAGCTTTCTTGAGTATTTGTTTTAATGTTTGTAGCCAGAATTTCTCAAAGGGAAATATGCTGAAGCTGACAGGAGTTTTCCTGCTGCCAGGTAACATAGAGATCTCAGAGGACAGCTGCAAGCAGTATGAAGTGATGTATTCCCCGTCCTGTGAAGCCACAAGGAATGGCACAGGAGTTGATGAGGCGTCAGCAAATGGAATTGTCCTGGCCACTGAAGATCTGGGATACCAAATCTATGAAGTGTCTGGTGAGTGTTGAAGTTCAAATGCTGCTGTCAGTGTCTGTAACCCCCCTGGAGCTGCTCTAAGTGTGCTGTGACCAAGTTAGAACTCTGACCATGTCCATGTGTATCCAAGAAGCTCCAGTATGGCCTCAACACGTGGCCAAACGAGTGCAAAGTGGGATCAGAATAATTATGAGAGTGTAGAGTCTGGGGGTCTTTAATCATCTTGGATGAGCTCTTAGTCCTACCCAGAGGGATTTATTCTTGTATTCTGCAATGAGATGTGTCCTTGCCTGGTCTTGTTGCCATAAAAGTGGGAGCTGATGGTGGATGTGGTGCCTTTCAGGTGATGGCAGCTCCACTGCGTCCACAGAAGACATTAGAGAATGTTTGAGAAAACAGCTTGAATTCTGCTTCTCTCGGTAGGTGCAGTGGTATAAACCCTTCATTAAATAATCTTTGGCAAATATCCCTCTTCTTGGCTTGATATGTTCCATCATCTTGAGAAAAACACAAACCAAGATTTGCTGATGTGCTGTAGAAGCCCTGTGGCACCTTCCAGCTGTTTCAGCCCTGTCTGTGCAGCTCTGTCCTTGGGTGAGGATCACTTTGTGCTTCACAGTCATAAGACATTGAGATCATGTCCTGTGTGGCACCAGAAGTCTTTTTGGCAGATGCTTTTTGCAGACAAACGTGTAGGGCACTAGAACTTTATTAAGTTTTTAAAATTATCTTACTCTGCTTTGTGTTGATTTGCTGGGATTTGTTCCAGGAGAGAAAACCTGAGGGTGTTTTGGTTGTGAATGGTACTGGTAAATATTTATTTAAGCCTGTAGTTATCCTCTTGTTTTGAGTTTTCTCTAAGTTCAGGATCTTTATTAAATAATAATTTTATATCTTTTTAGAGAGAATCTTTCAAAGGATCTCTACTTGATGTCTCAGATGGACAGTGATCAGTTTGTTCCAATATGGACAATTGCCAACATGGAAGGGATTAAGAAGCTGACAACGGACATGGACCTTATTCTTGAAGTTTTGAGATGTAAGTCTGGGAATTTGATATTTGTATCAGTAGCACAAAGAATCCTTCCGTGCTTCAGAGAGATGTTGCAGTCTCTGAGCTGGTTATGGTTTGTTGTTCTGGTAAATGGTGACAGGAGCTTTATTGAGTAGGAAGCTCTTCCAAACTCCTGAATTCTCATTCTTTGTTCCAAATTCCATAAGAGAGTCTGCTACTGCTGAGATGTCCAAATTTTGTACTTTATTTTCAGCTTCTCCTATGGTACAAGTGGATGAAAGGGGGGAGAAAGTCAGACCAAACCACAAACGATGCATTATCATTCTCCGTGAGATCCCTGAAACTACACCTATAGAGGTAAATCAGGAGAAAGGAAATAAGTAACTGGTACTGGTTTTGGAAGGTGTTTTCAACAGGGCTTCAAAGAGCACCAGGAAAGGTCAGCTGGTATTTAATTGGATTAAACACAGATATTTTTCTTCTAGACCACATCAGTAACTTTTTCCGCTTGGGTGCAGTGTCAAAATATCCAAAACAAAAACTTATTGTTATTATCCCTTGCCGCATTTTACTACTGTATTTAAACCTTCTTAAATAAACTTTTTTTTCCACCAAAGCTGAGCTAGCTTGGCTTTTCTGGAAGGAAGTTTGAACTGGTTTCTTTTCAGATCCAAAAATAAATCAGTCCAGGGCATAGCTTGGAATTCAGGCTAAATTTTTGTCACAGCAATAACTTTACTTGAAGTCAGACAGTTGTTTTGGCAGCAAGAAATGTTGCTAAACATTTCTCATTCATTGAGCCCCAGCATGAGCTGAGCTCATTATGCCCGAGGAGGGAGGATAATAAAATTCCTCCTGATACTTGGCAAACAGAATGATTTAGTTCTTTGTTTTTTAAAGTTGTAATACATGGTGTTAGTCTACCAGCATTTTTAATGAGTTCTTTTAATGCAAACTCTGAGCAGCTGCTTGTCCTTCTCTTTACAATCTGATTATTGCAAAGCTGTCAGGTCGCCTTGACTTAGAAATATTTCATGGAATCATTGTTGTCTCCATGACTCTGCTGATCTAAAGCCACACTTTTCCTACCTGTTTCATATGAAAATATCACCAGCTCTCCACAGATCTTGTTTTCTTACCAGCTGTGGTTGCTCTGTTTTATCTTGGGGAGACCAGGAGGCTGAAGTAGGAATTGTGGTAGAGGGTAATTTGGTCAGGGGAATAAGAAAACATCCCTGGTCATGGGAGAGCAGCAGCTGAGGAGCTGGAGCATAAACTTGGGTCACTTACAAGGGCCCTGAACTTGTCTCCCCAGGAGGTGAAGGCTCTTTTCAAGAATGAGAACTGCCCCAAGGTGATAAGCTGTGAGTTTGCTCACAACAACAACTGGTACGTTACATTCCAGTCCGACACCGACGCCCAGCAGGTAAGGCTGCCTTCCTCTGGCACCCCAGCTTCAATCCTGCCCCTGCTCAGGGAAAGTGCACTTGTGCTTCCTGTGGCTAAAAGAAATATTTATTTACTGATCCCCTCTTTGTTGTTCTAAGAGATTACTGGCAGATTCTGGCTAATAAGAGCAAAGGTGAAAGATTGTGGGGTTTTAATTCCCTTGCCTGGCTCTTGCCTTGGCATTCTCTGGCCATGACTGGCACTAGAGTCCTGAATTTGAAGTGTTAATGAATTTAGCTGGGCTGACAGGGAAGCACATGACTGCACATTTGTGTTAAATCATGGAACATCCTTTGGGAAGTACAACTTGATCAAGATATTCTAATGTTGTTTTTTTTTTTTTTTGTATCTGCAGGCATTCAAATACTTAAGGGAAGAAGTGAAAACCTTTCAGGGCAAGCCAGTAATGGTGAGGCTGCTTTAGCTGCTGTTTCTGTTGGGATTGCATTGTGTTGTTTCTGTTTGGATGATGGTGACCATTTGTGGGGGGTGATCCAAGGATTCAGCAGTGGGATGATCCATAACTCTGGCTCTGGAGGCTGAGACTGAACGAGGTCATGGGGAGCTCTGACAAATTACAGTTCAGTGGCTGCTGGTTACTCACAGCACTGCTTCCCAGGGGGGCTGAAACACATTCCTGTGCTGGCTTCCCTTCTCCACTTGCCCCAGAATCTGGGCTTGCAGAGCTCAGGAGAGGGATTCCTGCCACTGTGAGCCTTGAGTTGGCTGCTGCACAAAGCAGGCTGGAGCAAAGTGCCTGGACTGTGACAGGAGCTGTCACGATTGGAGTCTGGACAGTTCCTGCATTTATCTTCAGTTTTACAGATCACCTAGCTAAAGCAACATGTGTCCTTCCCCTTATCATGCTGTGGGATTATGAGCTGGAGTGATTTTATCAGTTTTTATTCATAAACAGTAATGAACCTTCACATCCCTCCAGCAGGCAAGAAAGATTCCACGTTCTCCTTTTCTCCCAGCTGACACCTGGTGTGATTTGCTGTCTTGCAGGCCAGGATAAAAGCCATCAACACGTTTTTTGCTAAGAATGGTTACCGGGTGGTGGATTCCAGTGTGTATCCCCAGCCCGTGCAGACCCAAGCCCAGTTTGCCTCCCCCCTGTTTATGCAGCCTGTATATAGCCCTCAGCAGTACTCCATTTACAGCATCGTGCCTCAGACGTGGTCTCCAAATCCTGCACCTTACTTTGAGACACCACTGGTGAGTAACAGCTGAGAAGGGGAGGAGCCCAGCCCATCAGGGGGGATTTGGTTAATAATCCCTAGGGTGAGGGGGTGTTCCAGGTTTCTTGGTCAGATCCTCCTGTTTTGTGACACTTATGTCCTGATAAAGCAACGCTGGCAGAGGAGCTGCCAGTCTCACCGTTGGCTGCCACGTATTTCAAGGAATTTTGGTGTGAAATTCCATTCTTCTGCAGCTTGTATTACTGGAAGAGCCCACAGCTTTTCCAGGAATGGGGGAACTCTGCTGAAGCAGATGCAGACTGTGAACCTGTGGGGATTTGGCTGGAGTAGTGAATTCCCACCACAGTAGATGCTGTAGCCCAGTGTGAAATTACAGCCATGAGTAACTGCTGAAGCTGATCATTAATCTGCAAACCTTCTCTTTGTAGCTCAGCCACTGAGACTGTTGTGTCTGTTGCAGGCCCCGTTTCCCAACGGCGGATTTGTGAATGGCTTTAATACACCAGGATCATATAAAACAAATGCTGCTTCTCTGAGTATAGGTCGCCCATTCCACAGGAATCGGTAAGAGAGTTCTGCCAGGGGTTTGCTCCTGCAAAACTTGCACTGCTGAGATCCTCAAGTGTTCCTTGCATGCCCCATGCAGTGTGGTGGGACCACATTATTTATTTTGTTTCATCAAATGAGTGATGTTTTTTAACTTTACTAAAAAAATGAAGTAGAAGGTGGCAGCTTAAGAGCCTAAAATAATGGACACAGTGCTGGAGAGAGCCAAGGTAACTCCTTTAAAAGCCTCAGAGGAATTTTGCAGACAAATAAATAACTTCCTCCTCAGGTCATACTTGTAATTATGTTTGTTATACACAGATTATACACTCCTGCAGCACAACATAAGCCTTCCTGCTGGGATCAGGCTTGTGGAGCTGCTGGTTCCTGCAGTGGGAGTTGCTTGTCCTGATTGCTGCGTCCAACTGCTCGATGCTGGGGCTGTTCCTGTAATTTATTTGCTTTATCCCCATCTTTCCTGAGAGCTGTAAGGACTTAGCTCAGACACAAACACTGGGGAGGAGGAAACGCTTTGTATTGCTGGAGCAATTGCTCTGTGAACACAATGGAGTAGTAACCTGTGTGTGGGGGAGGGAGTTTGTGTGCAGCACTGGGCTGGGATCATGGGAATTGCTGTTGGTATTGTTAGAGGGATCAGTCAACAGCTGCCAGGGCTGTGAGTGGGTTTGTGGTGCAGTTCAGGTCTGTGGCTCTTGGCAGAAGGGGAACTTCAAGCTTTGGTCTGTGGTGACTCAGCAGAGTCTTAACACAGACTGTAGAACTGGGAGCGTGACTGCCTGGAACATGGAGCAGCTGCTCCAGTTGCAGCTGCTCAGCTTCAAACTCACATCTTGACAAAGGTGGTTTGGCTTTTGTTTTTGCTTTAAATTGTGCACAATCTTAAAATCTGTAAATCTCTCAGGTATATGGGCCCTCATGGAAGTACAGATGCTGCAGCTGTGCAAGAACTGTGGTATCCAAGTGCTAGCACCTTGAAATGCCTCCTTGTACGTCCCATCTGCATAACCCCAAGCTTTTAAAATCTTGATTATGTAAAGGCTTCAGTTTGTGAGACTTGTGTGCTTGGGGTGGCAGTTTTAGGGTCAGTGTGTGCAGGTCCTGGCGGCCCAGTGATGATCAAGTATCGCGCTAAGAGAGAACAGGTCACAGTTGGGGCTGGGCAGCCTGTGCTCCCTGCTTGTCCTTCCTCCTGCTCTTCCTTCCTTCTGCTCTCACATCATTTCTCCTCCTCTCTGCTCTTTTTTTTCCTCTCCTTTATTTTTCCTTGTCTTTTCTGCTTTGCTCTTCTGCCCAGACAAGACTGTGGCCTTCTCAATGACGGTTAAGATTATGAGATCTGAGGGCTGAACAGTGACTTCAGAATGTGCCATTTTGAGAACAACATGGACAAAATGGAAGAATTCAGTTGACTTTGTTCCACCTCCTCCCTGTGGTTGTTGCTGATGGGAAACTAAAACTTTACTGGGCCCTTAAATCTGGTTCTTGAAGCTGGAAAGTGTGAATTCATCTCTGTTCAGCAAAACTCCAGCTGCTTTTGGGTTTCTGTCCTGGCCCATTAAACCAGATTTGTTTTGTGGTACAGGCAGTTAATAGTTAACTGCTGGAGTTTTCTCTGTAGCTAAACATTTGTTTAAGCCACTCGTATTTATTTTGTGCTGATTTGTTGCAACATCCTTGTGGGAAAGGGAGATGGAGGAATTGTACTTTGGCTGGCACTAGGAGAGTTTCTTCTGATTTCATGGAATGTTATAAGGAGATTGTTTAAAAACAGCAAGTGTGCAAAATCCTCCTGCTGCCCTTAAATTATGAGATGTGCAGAGTTTACCCAAGGAGAGAGAATTTGGGTTCTTTGATCAGTGCTGCATGGAAAACCAGTGAGGGGCAAAAGTAGAAAATAGTTGAAGACACCTAAATGCTGCTCCAGAAAACTGTTCCATACTGTGCTGGATCTGAGTTTTTCTGGAGAATTCTGCATTTAAGACCCTGAGCCTGAACTTGCAGCAGCACTGAGAGTGCAGAGCTGTGTCTGTGCTCAAAGGAACCACAGCTTTAAAGCTGAATAATCAATAACAGGGTGGAACATTTGGGTGTTGGGAGCTGCAGAGTCAGTGCTGGGGGTTTGGGAATGGGAGCAGCCTGGCCATGCATGGTAGGGCTCAGCTGCCCTGGCCTGATCTACCATGTTCAGTCACTCCTGGCCTTGTGTCTCAGTTCAGTCTGTTTGCCTGTGGCCAGATCAGTCTGTTCCTTGGCCTTGGCTTGTTTCTCCAGCTCCATTTGCAATGCCCCGTGCCAGTGCTGCAGGCCCAGACGGAGGAAAAATTCCTCTTTGGGTTCTTCTGGCTCTTGTGCAACCCCTGGGTTTGGGATTTTTTTTAGTTGTTTGAGATTTTGGGGTTTTATTTCCCCTCTTGGGTATCTTTTGGGCAGCGATCTCAAACAGGAATTCTGCTGCTTGCTGACCTGCTTTTCTTGTCAGCGGTGAATCAACTGCAGCTGGTGGTGGCTCTGCTGTGGTTCCTCAGCATGGGGGTCCCACAGCTCCTGCCCTGCTGTGGTTCCTCACTTTGGGGGTCCCACAGCTCCTGCTGTGGTTCCTCAGCACAGGGGTCCCACAGCTCCTGCTCTGGTGGTGGCTCTGCTGTGGTTTCTCAGCACGGGGGTTCCACAGCTCCTGTCCTGGTGTGGTTCCTCAGTTTGAGTGTCCCACAGCTCCTGTCCTGGTGTGGTTCCTCAGTTTGAGTGTCCCACAGCTCCTGCCCTGCTGTGGTTCCTCACTTTGGGGGTCCCACAGCTCCTGCTGTGGTTCCTCAGCACGGGGGTCCCACAGCTCCTGTCCTGGTGTGGTTCCTCACTTTGGGGGTCCCACAGCTCCTGCTCTGCTGTGGTTCCTCAGTTTGGGTGTCCCACAGCTCCCACTCTGTCCCTGCAGGGTCAAGCCCCATTTCCGCTCGTCCAGCAGCTCGGAGCACCCGGAGGGGCCGCCCGGCGCCGGGGCCCTGCCCATGGGGGACCTGAGCAGAACCAGCTCCAGGAATTTTGTCATGGAGCGCCACAACAGCTCATTAACGGGGCACCAAGACCAAGGGTATTCCCAAAAGGATTCTCCCACGGCACAGCTGGAGCAGAACGGCGATTACGGCGTCGGCAGGGGCAGGTAAAGGGCTCTGTCCTGTGTGTCAATCTGGAACTTGGCTTGTGCGAGCCAAAGATATCAGCCATCAGCACAAAATATATTTCTGTAAGGAGCAGCCACGAGAAAACTGATGCTTAAGTAAATCAGGAGCAGTAAATGCTGACCTGGGGGCAGGAGTGGTTCCAGCTTCACTCTCCAGCTGGTAGTTACTCTGACAAACAGCTGGCAGTAAGACAGTGAGGTGTCTTTATTTTAAAGTAACTGATTTGTTTCCAGAATTAAAAGAGATGTTGAAGTAAAGTTGGCATCTGTATAGCTGTAAATAATAAGTGAATCCTCAGTTGGGAATTTGATGCTCCTCAGTATTTTAAGATTAACTGTTTTTATCTCTTTTGACTCAGGGTTTAGACACTTGAAAGAGCAGCTCAGTGAGAAATCAGTCTAATAAGTTTATTACTATAAAATAATTGTCCCTGTGCTTGGTCAGATGCTCATGCATGGAGCTGAGAAAGAGGAGCTGTTCCCGTATTGACTCTCTTCCAGCTTCTTTCAAAGCTGGAACTTTGGCCCCTCGTGAGGAGGGAGAACTTCCCAGAGCCATGTGTGGGGAAGGCTCAGCAGGCAGCTGTGCTGCCCTCATGCAGAGCAGTGCCCACTGCAGCTGGCTGCATGCACTGACTACTGTTCTTGTCTTTAAAGGAGGAACGTGTTCCGAGGTCGCAGGAGACGGGAGGACGACCGGGTTTCAGTAAGTTCTGCTTCCCTTTTTGCAGGAGTCACACAAAGTGCAGAGTGTTGGCTTCCCGGTTACTGAATGAATGGCAGAGTCCTTAAGTCCTCAGATTACATTGGGGGTTTACAGTTTCCCTAGGAAGTTCCTGACACTTGCTCAGGGCTTTCACTGCTGTGTTCCAACTCTAGTAACTTGTGTTTTCCCTCTCCAGAGACCTCAGCCTTCAGCAGAAACAAAGACTCAGACACCAAAGTTTGACTTGCTTGCATCCAATTTCCCACCTCTGCCTGGCAGCACAGCAAAAATCCTGGGAGAGCCTGTGCTGGAGAGCAGGATGTCCGACATTGTTAAAGGAGTCTGCAAAGAGAAGGTGCCTGGTCCTGTCTCTGTACTCACACGGGCATATCTGGGTGCTGGGACTCCCTTTTCTCTGTTAAAGGGTTTTTTGTTAGAGCCATGTATTCAGTGCTTTAATTCAAGACCTCATAGTGCATTTTCCCTTTTTTTTTTGAGGGAATGCAGCTAGGACTGATGCAGTTATGCTGTTGTAAACTCAGTGGTGTTTAGGGATAAAGTGGGCAAAGGAGGAATGTTGGAGTAGGAACAGTTCAGTGAAGTGTGGGCAAGGGATCTTGCCAGATGAATCCCTTCTTTGAGCTGGTGGGACTAAGCACTGACATTCTGGATGACCTTGCCTTAGTTCTGGTTTTACCCACTGCTTGTTTTGCCCATATAAGGAGGTATTGCTTTAGAGGTGATGATCCAAAAGAAGTAAAATTCCTGTCATCAGGACTTGAGCAGCCTTTGGGAGTACCCCACTTTCCAGATGTCTTACAGTGCTATATTGTGGAGCAATTTGAGAATTGTTCTGTATTTTGCAACTTTTGCTCCGTGTGCAGGAAAGCAAAGACTCCCTGTGCCCCTGCCCTGCTCCTGCTCCTGCTCCAGAAGAACAAACGCCCAGCACTGCCCAACCGCCCGTGCCCAGCGTGAGCTCCCCGAGCCAGACTGAGCCTGTGGTGCTGAGGTAGGCAGAGAACATGGGCACACCATGGAATCATGGGGTGTCCTGAGCTGGAAGGGACCCACAGGGATCATCCAGTGCAATCCCTGCATAGACAGCCCAACAATCCCACCCTGGGCATCCCTGGAGCAGCTCCTGCAGCTCTGGCAGCCTCAGGGCTGTGCCCAGCACCCTCTGGCAGAAGAATCTTCTCCTGATTTCCCTCTCCTGGCAGAGCTGCAGTGGTTCCCTGGTGTCCTGTCCCTGGTCACAGGGAGCAGAGATGGGAGCTGCCCCTTGGGATGAAGCTGCAGCCCCCAAGGAGTCTCCCCTCAGTCTCTTGTCCAGCTGAACAGACCCAGAGCCCTCAGCCACTCCTCCAGACCCTCCCGATCCTGCTTTGGCCCTTCTCCAACAGCTTTAGATCTTTTAGACACTGTGGTGCCCAAACTGCCCCTAGGACTGGAGTGAGGCCACCCCAGTGCAGAAGAGAGGGACAATCCCCTTCCTCACCTGTCTGGCAGTGCTGGAACTGATGCCCCTAGAGCCTGGTGACCCATTTGCATGTTCTAGCAAAGTCTCTCACCAGTGTCTTGCAGTAATGTTGGGTAGTATCTTCTCCAGAGGCCACCAGATGGAAAGAACAGATCATGCTGGGGGATGGCTGTGCTGTTCTGTTCTGCACTTGTGACTTCAAAGAAAGGAAATAATCTCTGAAACCTGAGTGTTGGTAGGTTTTAATTTGAGTTGTTGTTGGTTTATCAGCATGGTTCAGCCAGAGAGCAAACCAGAAGAAGTGTCTGCTCCTAAGGACGTGGCCAGCCCGGCTTCTCCGCCGGCATCCGTCTGTCCCATCAGTGCTGCAAAGCCACCGAGGACTGACACCTCCTCACCTTCTGCTCAAGCAAGTGCAGCTCCAGCTCTGTCAACACAGGTAAGGCCCAGAGCAGGGATTGGGAATGACACAGGGGGCTTGCTCCAGGTTGTGCAGCTGGTGGTGCTCCAGGTTGTGCAGCTGGTGGTGCTCCAGGTTGTGCACCTGGTGGTGCTCCAGGTTGTGCACCTGGTGGTGCTCCAGGATGAGCTGATGGTGCACCTGGGAGCTCCTCTCTGCTCGCCGTGTGTCTGTTGCTGCTGCTGTGTCCTGGCTTGGTGCCTGGCCTGGGCTGGGGGGTGGCTCTGGTGCATAAACCTCGCTCTTCTCCTTGCTCCCAAAGGAGCCTCGCAAGCTCAGCTACGCCGAAGTTTGCCAGAAGCCCCCCAAGGAGCCCCCTCCGGTCCCCGTGCAGCCTCTGAGGGAGCACCGCACCAACATCGTGGCCCCTGCCAAAAGCGAAGAGAACGGTACGGCGGAGAAGGCTCCGGAGAAGGCTCCTCACGAGAGGCCCGAGGGGAGAATGAAGGATTTCTGCGGCTTCCGCGGCAGCGGAGCTCCCAGGGGAGCTGCTGCCAAAATCAGGGAACAGAGGCGCCAGTTTGGACGCAGATCTTCGCCTCAGGGAGCGCCGCGCCGCGCGGGCAAGGAGCAGTTCGTGCCACCCCGGTCACCAAAGTAACGCTGGGCCAGCCAATGATTCTCTGTTTCACTTGAGCTGTGGACTAAAGAGCAGCAGAGAGACTGAGGAGGAGGGAAGGATTCGGGAAGGGGAGTATTGAACTGGAGCGTGGCTTGTGTGGAGAAGTTGTGGAGAGTCCCAAAATTCATCTCTAAAAGTGATTTCACAAATGCTGGAGGATTCCAATCACTATAAATATAGAGATTATAATTTTTGTATTTTTGTTTTTAATTTGCAGAGGGTTTCCTGCTTGAAATCAGCTTTGGGATTGTGAAAGTAGCGTTTTGACAAAGTGAAAGGATATGAGTTGACAAATTAACCTGTCCCTCGGTGTAGGAGGAGAAGGATAAGAGAATATTATTTTTGGAAAATGAGCATTTCTGTAAAATTAGAACTTTTTTTAACCTATTTAACGTTTGGCTTGTGGGCTGGTGTGTCTGCCATGGATGGCCTGGCATTGCAGAGGCCTCTGCAGCAGCATGAGCGGAGCGAGTGCAGCCAGACCTGTTGTCATCACTTAGTCACTGATGATGAAAACTGAATGTACTACTGTAGTGTAACCCATGTGTTTCCAGCTTGAAGTAGAGTCTCTTGACCTTACTAATATTTCATTCAGCAAGCTTTTTAAGGTGTAAGTTTTGCAGGATACTGGATTGTAGATGAGAGTGTGTGGACAGCAGAAATTGTCTCGTAGACGCAGTGGAAGGAGGCAAAGGGAGCATGTGAGAATCTTTATTATGCCCTTTTTCCTCGCCTCCTTTTGAGGGCAACTCCTTAGGTTTGGGGTTTTGTTTGTTTGCTTTTTCCCTCTCTTGTTACTTTCTCTAATTTCTTTATTACAGACTTTAGTGCATTTTTCTTGGTGTGTTTTCCTGAGGCAGCCCCAGGGTAGGATGGGCAGGTGGTGTTACCTGCACAGGTAAGGAGCCTGGAATTCCAGCTGCAGATGCTGAATTCTGCCTTGCAGGTGGGAACTCTGGGCACTCGCTGTCATCTCTGGATGACTGGGCAGCAAACCAGAGCTGTGGCTGGGTTTTCTCTGTGCTGACTCTGGAATAGGCTGTTGGCTGCTGTATTGCCAGAAATCAGGGTTTAGGCTCCTGGGAACTCGTTGTTTACAGCTGATGTCATAGCAACTGACTCTTTTTAACTGTTTAAAGTGGAGCTAAAGATGCAGAGTTAAGGAAATCCCCTCTGGAGCAGTGGCTCCTTGCCAGCTGTGTGCTGACTGAATTTGCAACACTATTGTGCAGTAAGTGGTTAAGTTTCAGGGTGATTAATGACCGAAATAGGAACATTCAGCGCATTAATCTGCCAAAATCAGCATACCAGGGTTCAAAGTTCTGTATAAAGCGTTAGGGAAAAGTAGCTTCCAGCAGTAAGAATCACATCTTTATTTTTTCCTCCTTTTTTTTTTTAGTGAATAGCAAGTGTACAAATTTAAAGTTGTAAGTTGTGAACACTGGAAAACTCAATTGTGATATATTCCGTAACCATCTTAGTAATATATGCTCGTGTTGCCATAGAATGAATGTAAGTGGCAGTTAAAATAACTGTGAAATTTTTCATCTTCTGATTTCTTAGCCAGATAACCCTTGGCGACTTGGGCCTCAGTAGGAATTCTCTATCAACTGCTTGGAGAACACTCATATCTATTTTTATAAATATATATATAAAGCCAGAGTTGTCATTTCTCTAACTTATTATTCAGCTTGGCAATTGCTTTGAGTTGATTCATAACACGATATAATGTATTTATGCAGTTAACTGTTCATTTCTAGGCATGTTACAAAAGAGAGAGTCAGAGAATCACCGAATGGGCTGACTTGGAAGGGACCCATCAGGATCATGGAGTCCCAACTCCTGACCCTGCCCAGACACCCCAAAATCCCACCCTGTGCCTGAGAGCATTGTCTGGATGCTTTTGAGATCAGACAGGCTTGGAGCTGTGACCCCCTTCACCTGGGGAGCCTCTTCAGTGCCCCACACCCCTCTGGAAAAGGATTTTTTCCTGATTTCCCACCTCAACCTTCCCCAACTCAGCTTCCTGCCATTTCCTCGGGTCCTGAAGTATGTATACATATATATATTTGTGTATATATATATATATATATATATATATATATATATATATATATGTATATGTATATATAAACCCCAAAATCACTATTCACTTTGAAACTACCTGTACTGGGTTTGGGAGGTTTTTTTTTAATTTAGTGAAAAAAAATCGTTGATCACATCCACAGTTAGGGATTCTTACAGACCCTTCTCCATTTATTTTGATGATGCTACTCTTGTTGGAACCATAGGCAAGTTTAAATATTTAGTGTCAAAGTCCTGAAATGCGGTGAATGCGAAGTTGAATTAGTTTTAAAGGCTCTAAACAATTCCTGCAGCCAAACTGGAACAAAACAAGCCTGTAGGGTGGTTCATGGGTGTTCAGGGGAGATGTGTTCTGGGACGTTGAGGCAGCGTTGGGATCTGACAGCTTTGGCTGTTTGGAGGAGGAATTGAGAGGAAAAAGGTCTGGGAAAAAATTCCCTGATCCAGTGTCAGTGACCTGAGTGGTGAAATGGAGCTTTGAGGGAAAACCCAACCAGCTGTGGCTCCATCTTCCTCGTGGGGTGTGGGAAGGGGGTGCTCTGTGGTCCTGGGGTGTCCCAGCAGCAGCAGCTCGTGCCTCGTGTGCAGGGGATGCAGGTCAGGCTGTAGCTTTGGCTTTTCCCAGCATATCCAAACTTCCCTCAGCTTAGGGCACTTGGAACGATGAATTTCACACCTGCATGCAAGGATTTCACGTTTCAAATTCCACCATTTCCAGCTGTGGTTTGGGGTTTGTTTTTTTTTTGTTTTATTTTTTTGCTTTCTATTCTTTTCTGTGCAGGGGGAAATTCCCGGTTGGATACAGAGGCTGTGAAGCTGTGTTGGGGTGGGAGTTCTCCTCAGCACTGGGACCTGGCAGGGATTTTTTCTCTCGTGCTGGGATCTCGTGTCTGTGCCCAGCAGTTTCCAGTTGGGCAGGCTGGGGAAACTGGGACAGAGGGGTGGTTTGGAGCCAGACCCAAGCTCCTGGATTCACCTGGCTCCAGGTGCTCTCCAAGTGCCCAGAGCTCTCCTGGTCCCTCTGGGTTTACCCTCACGGGATACAAACTGTCCTGCTCTGCTGATGTTAAATACCAGGAGGTGCAAATCACACCTGACTTTCAGTTTTAGGAACTGTGACTTGTTTTCAGAGTTGTTGACTTCTGTTTGGGACAGAAATACACTTCCCAGTTCAGGTCTTTTCCAAATTACTGCGTGTGGAAAAGATTGGGGCACTCTCTCGTGCTTCTGCTGGGGAGTGAAAAGAAGAAATTCTTTGCATGTGATAGTAAAACTAAAAGTGCAAAAAGTTTTGTTTCTTTTGATTTCTAACATTAAGTTAGTTTTATAGTATCTTACATTCCTGCTCTTGTTGTTTTGTTGGTTTTTTTTTGTTTTTCTTTAATTAGCCTGGCACAGTATGATGGTGCAGTTTTAGCTGTAGGAAAAAAAAAAAATAACCCACTATTAACCAGAAGAGAAAGATGATACTGTGGCAGATCAGTAGCAAATAAGTGACTTAATCAATGCTTTACTGTAGTTAAATAGCTATGGCCTTACTACTTTGTCAATATCAGCTTAATTGTCTTGAAACTGTCTGCGATTTTTACTGTTCCCAGGTTGAGTTTACCTGGGCTGAGATATCTGGTATGTACAGATGATATTTTAAATTTGTAAAATGCACCATTGTATTACAGATGATGCAACAGAAATGCACTTCGGGGGGAAATGGCTTCTGATGAGTTTTTTTGTAAATCCTTGATTACTACAGATATGCAATAGAGTTTTTGTTTCTAATTTTGATATTTCCTTCTGAAACGTAAGATTGTTGCCATTAATCTGAATGATTTATCATGCTCTTCTTTGCGTGTATATATTCCATATAGTCTGAGCTTCCTTTAGGATGGTACATAATTTTGGGTTGTTGTAGTATTTTAGTTGGCTCTTCTCTTCAGTGCCTTTAGCTCAGGCACTTCAAGAGGTTCATTGAGTCTGTTTTTAATGTACAGTTGGGAGGACTTGAAATGGAGTTAAAGCAACTTATTTCTGAGAAAAAAAATCCATCTGCAAACTAACCTGTAACAACTTTAAAATTTTATATTTAAGAACCAGATGTTTATTTTTATGGAACTTCAGTTATGGATACAGTTTCCAAAAAAAAAAATGCAACTTCAAATGTAAACAGACTGTGCATAAATGGGTTTTGTTCTAATTTTTATAGAATACAAAATATTCAGATAATATATTGAGCTCGAGTTACTACAGACATCTTGTTCCTCCCGGATGAATCCAGCTTCCCCTTGGCATTGACGATCTCTCTTCAAAGTGGTAGGAAAGGAGAAAAAAGCGACTTATCTGGCTTTTAGACTGTCTGTTCTGGTTTATTCCTGTTGTCAAAATGTCCAAAACAAAATTTGTGTAAAGTAGGTTCATGCTTTAAGTGTTCAAATGATAATACATGTATTTGTATTTGTTTTTGACATTGCCAAGGTGCTATGGGAAATTGAAATAACAGTTAGAAAAATAAAGCTGATTTAAAAGAGAAAAAAAAAAACCACCAAAAAAAAAAAAAAAAGAAAACAAACCAAAAAAAAAAAGAAAAAAAACCCTTAAACCACAATTGCCTGAGTTGTTCCTTGTGTCTGTGGAGGGTGAAATGTTTTTAGTGCAGGTGCTGGTGGGGTTCTGAGAATGGGGGTGAAGGGGGTGCTGAGAATGGGGGTGAAGGGGGGAACGGGGACAGGAACGGGAGCAGAACCGGGAACGGGCCCGGAGCAGAACCAGGACCGGGACCAGGGCCTGGGGGCTGCACTGGGAGCAGGGGCGGGCGGCAGGAGCAGAACCGGGGATCGGTAATAGAACCGGGACTGGGGATGGGAGTGGAATCGGCACCGGGAACAGAACCAAGATTGGTGAAGGGGCCCGGCAGCAGAACCAGGACAGAGAATGGGCCGGTGGCAGAACTGGGACCGGGGATCGGGAGCAGAACCGGGGATGGGGATGGGAAGTGGACCCAAGACTGGGAGCAGGACCGGGATCTGAACCAGGACCGGGATCAGTCCCAGGGCCGGGAGCCGAACCGGCACTGGGATCGGTCACAGAACCGGGAGCCGAACCGGCACCGGGATCGGTCCAGGGCTGGGAGCCAAGCCGGGACCAGGAGCCGGACCGGGAACTGGATCAGTCCCCGGGCCGGGAGCAGAACCGGGAACTGGATCAGTCCCAGGGTCGGGACCAGAACCGGCACCGGGAGCCGAACCGGGATCTGTCCCAGGGCCGGGAGCAGAACTGGAAACTGGATCAGTCCCAGGACCGGGAGCAGAAACGGCACCGGGATAGGTCCAGGACCGGGAGCCGAACCGGGATCGGTCCCCGGACCAGGAGCAAAACCGGGACCGAAATCAGTCCCAGGGCCGGGAGCAGAACCGGCACAGAGATCAGTCCCAGGGCCGGGAGCAGAAACGGCACCGGGACCAGAACGGGGACCGGCGCCGGGCGCGGGGCGGCTGCAGCGCGGGGCGGGGCCGCGCGGGGGCGCAGCGGGGCCCGGGGCGCGCGCGCCGCGCGGTCACGTGCCGGCGGCGCCGGGCTCAGCCATGGCGGAGGCTGCGGCCGCTCCCGCTCCCCCCGCGCCCCGCGGCCGCTGAGCCCCGCCGGACCCGCGCCCGCAGCCCGCCCGCCGCCATGGCCGAGCCCGCGGCCGTGTCCTCGCTGCCCCGCGAGGTCCGCGAGCAGCTGGCCGAGCTGGAGCTGGAGCTCTCGGAAGGTGAGTGAGGAGCGCCCGGAGCCCGGCCGGCCCGCCCGGCCCTGCCCGCGGGGCGCCGCGGAGCCTCCCTGTAAGGGGCCGGGGGTGCCGGGGTCGGGAGTGCCGGAGGTGCGGCGAGAGGCTCCGGGCTCTGTGTGAGAGGACCGGGGGAGGAGGGAAGGGCCCGGCCGGGGCTGGGGCTGTGTCTCAAGGGAAGGAGCGCTGGGAGCATCCTCTGTGCGGGGCACCCCGAGGAGAACCGGGGAGAACCCCCGGAGGGGCCTCATCTGCCGGGGATGGTGACCTGACCCCCCCCCCTCCCTCTCTCGGGAGTGTTTTTTTCCTTGTGGCCTCTTTTCCGCAGCTCCCGAGCCCAGGATGCGGAGTGGGAGTGAGAGACCCCGGGACGGGCAGTTCTGGGGCGGGGGAGCCGCAGTAACTTCGGTCACAATAATGACGGCAAACCCGGTGTTATTCCCACTTTCTGAATAAGTTCTTTTGCCATAATCCGTTCAGAGCATGCGCTTTTTGCTGGGGTGGTTTTTTTTTGGTGTTGTTGTTGTTTCCTTTTTTGCATGGGTTTGTCTTTGTTCCCCAGCGTTTAAAATGCTGCTCTCGGTACAGCTTTGTTGTGAATCTCCCTTGCGAAGCCGGAGGGCGAGGGATGAAGCTGAGGCGGAGGGGGAAGGTTGCAGAGCAGGTAGCTCAGATTTGCATCATTTAAATTTTCCTCCCCCCCCCATCAGGGTACGGAGCTTGATGCCAAAATCAGTGCCTTCTCAGGAGGGTTCACTGCATGGCTGGAACAACCAGAGAATCAGAATATCCCGAGTCCCAAGGGACCCTACAATGATCATCCACATCTCTCTTAGCATTAAAAATTAAGAAAAATCAAGTTGCAGGCACATCTTGCTCTGTTTATCCCAGAGCCTACAGTGCATAAAAGAGACTTATTGACTCTTTGGAGATCAGGAATTCACTGCCGGGGTGAGCTGGGGGCTGTCAGGCCCCGCTGCCCACGTTGGCACTCAGGGCTGTGCCAGCAGAAAAGGCCATGGCACTGCTTTCCCAACACAGCTGAACCCCTGATGTTGGCTGCCTGGGGCTTTTGTTAGCTCTTTCCCAGATAAACTTTCTGCAGACATTTAACTAAAGTGATAAAACTTTATCTAGTGTTTGCTTTTGGGGACTCCGTGATAACAAAGAATGAGGAATGGCGGTGTTGCTCAAAACGTAACATGAAATAGGTTTTAAAAAGAATCTGTTAAATGTTTTAAGC